CCATCACTTTGTAGGTAGAGAACATTCCGCGATTTGAGCATATGTGACAAGTAGCTCCGGTATCTACCCACCATTCCTTAGTGTTTCCAGCTAAGTTGCATTCAGAGACGACCGCAGAAAGATTTATGTCTTGTACCTTATTAGTGAGGTTCTCATGTTCTGTTACATTGGCCTGGTAAGTTTTTCCCTTCACATTCTTTAGTTTTCGACAATCCTTGGATCGATATCCTGCCTTCCCACAATTGTAACAGTTGCCTGTAAATTTTTTAGCAGTTTTTAAAGAACCAGTTTGTCCTTCACCATTGTGCTTCCTCTTTTTGCTAGTCTTGAAGCCTCCTTCTACAATGTTAGCTTTTGATTCCATCGAATGAGATGCACCATTCCTTTTTTCAGTTTTGCGATTGTTTTCTTCTATTCTCAATCGGACAATGATATCTTCAAATTTCATTTCCTTCCGCTTGTGCTTTAGGTAATTCTTGAAATCCTTCCATGAAGGCGATAATTTCTCAATCAGTACAGTGGCTTGAAATGATTCACTTAGTTTCGTCCCTTCGGTATGGATGTCACTAAGTATGATTTGAAGTTCTTGAACTTGGGATATGACGGTCTTGATATCAACCATTTTATAGTCCAAAAATCGACTGACATTAAATTTCTTCGTGCCGGCATCTTCGATTTTATACTTGGTGTCCAAAGATTCCCATAATTCTTTTGCGGACTTCACATTGCAGTACACATTATATAATGTGTTGTCCAATCCATTGAGTACATAATTTTTGCACAGAAAATCAGAATACTTATATGCATCAACCGCAGCCAATTTTTCAGCATCACTGTCTTGCTCGGTATATGAAGGCGCATCTTTTTTGAGAAATTTAGCCAGATTTAATGTTGTCAGATAAAAAAGCATTTTTTTTTGCCAACACTTGAAATTTGACCCATTAAATTTTGCTGGTTTTTCCCTGATCGTATTCAAAGTGTGGTACCAGAAGTTGCCATTTCTGAAACACAATTAGAAGATCAATTGTAAGGAGTAAAAACAGAAACAGAATAATAGCAAATTCGTTTTAAGATTGTTGTTTTTAGAGTTTGAAATTACTCCTTCGAAAATAATCTGACAAAATCACCTGAATGTAAGAAATGATTAACAGGATCCAAAATGTAATTCGAGCCCACCGACTTCATGATATTTTTTTAAAACGAATTTGCTGCCTTCAATGGTGTTAAAGGCATCCAGCAATCGTTTTCCAGGATAAAATGAATTTTTGTCTTCTACGGAAGCAGCACAGCAATCTGCAGGAATTCTAACGAAGTCAACAAAGTGTATTTGACTTCGAAACAATATCAGAACCTGAGAGAGGAGAATAAGATTCAAAGCACAGAAAGTTTGCAATAAAAATTGTGTAAATTTTCTGGTAGAGAGACAGGCTATTTAATCCTGGAACAGACATGTCGTTCTAAAGTCGCATCTGTTAAGTCGATTAGCAGTCGACTGTTCCCAAAAATATAAATTTTGTCCAAAAAGTTAATATAGTGCAAAGGTCCACCCCCACCTGAACACAAACCGGATCGGACTTGGGCAAGTGCTCGTGCCGAACCGAGCCGAGCCGAGCCTGCCGGACGGCGGCACGCGCGTGTGGGTTTATGACCGAACCCAATAAGATATAGTTCTTCCCTCTTCCAAAGACTATTGGTACCCCTTGGGGCTCAAACCCAATTCCTAAACTTCCACATTATAAATCACAACAAAGTTTCCTAACTTTTCTATGTGGGATAAGTATTCGGAAAATCAAATTCTTCCATAATGCTTAGTTTTATGTGGGTTACTTTAACACTTAATATTTTATTCAATTCTAAATGATTTTCGACTAATAAATATATCACGTTAATTATCTCGCGGAGTAGAACGTGAATATACTAGTTCCCGTATTAATTAAAAGGTGGGTCCTACTAAAATTTGGGCTCAAAGTTGACCCATTTCATAATCATTTTTCCAACAAATTCTCCTCGAGCAAGTACAAGCTTCTGAAGATGGGAGTTCCAATGTTTTTTTCACTTCGTTAGCTGTTCTTCCAGGAAGTCTACATCTAATCAACGACCATCTGCATCAACATGAAAGAAGGAAGCAAATCTCTAATTAAGAAGATTGTTTGATACGGAACATACGAGTTTGGGAAATTATTTTAAGGAACACAGTGGATCATCTATCATTTAGCCTATTCTTTTGTTGGGAAGTGATTTTGATGATGCTTTTCATGATGATCCATGGATGGAAATAAAGCAAATAAGAGGCAGTTTTTTAAATCAAGAATCGATGGTATAACTGGGATGGTTTTATCAATGGGAAGTTTTGATCATGATGAACAGATTATTCTCAAAAGAATTCATAGACGAAAGTTTACCAGGTCTAAGTCTTATAAGAGATTGCCAAATTTTGTTCTAAATTTCCTACCCTAAAAACAACGATAGAATCATTTTATGCTATCTAACAAAAAGTACTTGAACTTCCCTACATGGGGTGGTCGAGTTGGTGAAATAGGTGAGCGCGAAAACCTTTGGTCACGAGTTCGATTTCCCGTACTTGTCTAGTGCGGTTTACCTGACTGACGTGATTTGCAGGCTATTCATCAGCCCTAGTGTTTACCTAATGCGCACTCGAAGGGTAACGACTGCGGATTCCCCCGTCATTAAAAAAAATGTATTTGAACTTGCTTGTTGACTAAAAGCTTATGAAGCCTTATAATGAGATCATCTTCATCCTTTGTAAAATTTCCTCCTTTGATATCTGGCCTCAGATAGTTTAATTTAACCACCTCATTCTACAAGATAAAAATCATAAGAAATTAATTATGGTGAAATCAAATGTCACATCGTTTATTCATTTGAATATTTAGTCCATGATTGATATAGATTAAAATATATTATAAAATTCAAGTTCAAATTTACAATTAATTTTAACCACGCATTTCATATAACCTATAATTTTTTAACCACAATTTCATTAACTTAGAATTAAATCTGATTTTAACCTACACCAAACAGGGATGATTTACTACCTCATTCGTGTTTCTGTTAAATTTTATTAGTAAACCCTCTTTAATCAATTTCTTCGAATGCATGTAAGTTTAGTTGCTTTTACAAATTATAATAAGGTAAAAAATCAATGTGATAACTTTGATTTTCTTGTCACTATATCATTTGTTCAATTTGTACACTTATTTCTATTAATGTAATAAATTATAATTATAATTGTAATATTAATTATTATTTTATTTTTTCATGTTCAAGTGCCTTGCCTAGAGACTGCAAGATTCAATAAGCATTGATATAAAGTTCAAACATTTTGATTTGGGTAGAGTTGAACGTCATGGACTATGGTTGAATCAGCTATAAGTGGGGCTAGCTTTGATAAGAAAAGTATCATAAAGCCTATGAGTTGGTGGATATGAGATGGCCACCAAAAATTATTGGTGAGCTTCGGACGTTATCACGACTTTAACCATGCATATGGCCACCTATTTAAGGGGAGTTTATTCAATTGAGACTTTTGAAAAATTTGATGGATTTTTTTTAAGTGATGATTTTTATAGATTTTGTGGATCTTTTAAAAATTTGTATGGAATTAGTGGAAGTCTTTTGTAGGTTTATATAGATTTTCATTCTAAATTTTTTATAAACTTTTGTGAAATTCAAAAGACTTTTAAAACTTTCATTTGAAATAGAATTTACATGGATCTGGTTTGAAATTCTCACATATGAGGTGCTAATTTTCATAATTCCCCTTTTCCTTCCACTTCTTCTTCCCGTATAATAAAAAAAATTTTGAAAAAAATTAAAAATTTAAGACCTTAATTAAATAAATAATAATCAAAATTATATATACGATTCAAAATTATTAGTATAGTATACTTTTAAAAATAAATAATAATCAATATATTTAAATTTAATTACAAATTTTTATAATTAAATAAAAAATAGATATTTTTCACAAAAAATGAATGAAAAAAGAATTTTTTTTTATAAGAATCCAATTTAATTTTTCATAGAAAATAGAGATAAATAATAAGAGAGGGGAAAAAATAAATGGAATATAATCAATAAAAGAAATTAAATTTTAATTATACATGTCCATAGAAGGTTAAAGGAAAGAAATATTGAAAAAAAATGTTTTCGTTTTTTTATGAAAGTCTCCCAAAATTACGTGATAAATGAGAGACAAATTTTAAGATATTATATGAGTATTTTCTGCTTAAAAGTTAGTATTTCAGAGACTTTTATAAAAGTCTCTAAAAATTATTAAAATTTGAATACCCCAAAACTTATAGAGATTTTTAAATTTTATAATTGAATACGCCGTAACTTTCAGAGACTTTTTAAAAATCTAAATTGAATATACCGTAACTTTTAGAGAGTCTCAAAAAGTTTCAATTGAATACGCCTAAACTTTTTAAATCTCATAAGGTCATTAAAAGTCTTAATTGAATACACCCTCCTAAATTTTTAAATTGTTGGAAAGTTCGAGATAAAACAACTCAGGCTTGTAAGGAAATCGTGCTAGTATAGATTGCCAAGTAAATAACTCGTTTGTAACATCTACAGATGAATATGCTAATTTTTATATCGAATTGTAAATGTCAATAAACTAAATTCGTATTTAAACGCTTACAATCAAGTTTCAAAAACGCTTCAAATATTTCATTAAACAACACTTTCAATGTCTTGAAACCACATCCACGATTTCATTCTTAAGGAAGGTGCATTTGACTAAGTTCATGATAACGACTCACACAACTTAACAAAATCAAGTTGATTCCATTTGAATTTGAATGATCAAATTGAAATAAATAAAGGTTGAATGATCAAATTGAAATAAATAAAGGTTGAATGATCAAATTGAAATAAATAAAAGTTGAATGACCAAAATAAAACAAATCTGTAAATTAGGTGACCTCGCGGATTGCCCGCCTCCGCGCATTTTAGCTGCCCAAGCCTTGAACCCCAAGACGGGAACACAAGCAAATTGTTTAATTAAAACAAAATTATTTGCTTACACGCCAGTGATCGTAGATCTACCTATCTCTTTGCAAGCTCAATTGATGGTCAGTTTTCTTCACATTCTTCACACATTCAATATACTCATTTATGTATAAGTAGGTGTATTTTATTAATCCGTAATTATGAACATTGTTGTTCGTACTGTAGGCGAACACATCGCGATTATATTTAACTTGCATTCGGAACACTCTTGAAGCCGCGATGTGCCTGCAGGTGAATTAATTTGATTTTTATTATTTTTGTATCTCCAAATATTCTGTAGAAACTTAGTCATGATATATATGTTTCTGCCAGATTTAATTAAAAGTTATTTATTTCAATCATTTATTTGAATTTCTCTGTTTTATTCATTTGTTGCAGAATTTTCCTTGTCAAGAAGTTGAAAGGCACAACAAACCGGAAGTAGAACTGAAGTATGTGTTGTGTGTATATGCTTATCAATGTTCAAGCTTTCCTCTTTTTTTTGATGTTTTAAAATGAATTTCTCAAATTAGTCGGGCCAGTAAAGTATTAAAAAAGGGGAAAATAGAAAAAACACATGGGAGTGTTGTGTCATGTGTACAAGTTACACGATCTTCCCTAGCATTTGTACGAAAAAGGAAAATTGGAGTGGATACTAATGCTAATAGATATGCAAATAGCCTTTTATGCATCAGTTGTAAGGCATTGCCCACTTGGAGTGCCTCTTAAATGAGCTTGTAGAAGCTGATCTGTTGCAGAAAGTCCCTGTCATCCAATGATTGAATAGACATTGCAACTTACCACAATATGATATATGACCTCATTTCTCACAATCTTGGTTAATTAATAAATGAGTTATAAGTAATGTATGGTTAGAGTGATTAATCCTTGCATTGGTGTGGCTCAAATATCACTATGAACATGCACAATACAGAATACTAAAAGTTACAATATTTGCATATACAGGCTGTAAGTAAAAGCTGGATGCATTTTCTTATGTGGATTACATGATGCTACCTATCTACATAATATATGCATGTTTTTTTGGATTGACCAATGTTTTTTAATATATCCATTCCACGAAGTCAGGGCATTTTGTGGTTGATAGCATCAAATTCAAATATATTCTCGGTCCAGATATAGTATCAATTATACATGGATGATTTTAACATTTGCATTATGATTTTCAGGACCAGTCCCGAACTTTTACTTAATCCTGTAAGAACTCTTCTTATCTCCATATGCTACGTTTTATCTTTCCACACGTCATCATTTATACTAGGATTTATAAGTTGAATTTTAAACTGTAATTGTTCTTTCATATAATATCACAACATAGTATGTTGATATAAAATGACTTGAAATTGAATGCCTAGGCTTTATCTTTCAGGTTAGGGAGAGGTTGGGTATGGCAAGAATAAAGACTATATAGGATATAGCCATTCATCTCACAATATATGAGCCTTATTTTCCTTGGATGTGACTATTTATACTTGAATTTTATCCATAGAATGATAATCAAGGAACTAGTGTCTCTATTGATCGATATGCATTATTTATGACTGCTAGCTATCCATTATGTAGTCATTTTTACTGGTACTTTTAAGATATTTATGCACATTTCAGTGTTCACATTCCACACGCAAGAGCATATGTTGTCATGATACCATTTATATATAAAAGACACAAGTATGATGCTCTCTAAGAATTTTAAGCTGGATATAATTTTTATAGGATGTATCTAAACTGATTGATGGATTTTAGTTACAACAAGTTTAAGGCAACAGTATTTTACAAATGTAATGGACCTTTTCCTGGTAAATGGTTCAAGGTTACTTTGTGCATGATTTCCTTTCAAGTATTTCCTTCATTTATTGCACAATTTTTTCCTTAACACACCACAATGTAATGAAGGCAAACTTCCTCTAAACCTTATTGATCAACTAAAGAGTAAAGACGAACTTGGCCCAAATCATTCTAATAGTGTTCGGAAACACGACTACTTCGGCAATGTTCTAAGAATTGCCCCATTATATAAAAAATTCAACTTAATTCAGCGATAGTACAAGAGTACAAGTTTCACAGGATTGAAGCTCACAGCAAGATTGCCTTACTTGAGCATATATTTTCTGCAATTTTTCTGCTAGTGATTCCTTCCACCCATGCATAGACTTAAGGTTGAAGTTGTGTAGGTTCTTGCTTATGGTCATGCAGGATGATTGTTTGAATTTGTCCAAGTGAAACTCATTATTATTTCTCATGGGCTTTACTACCCAAATCCAAAAGCTTGGATGGATATATTGCCCGTGGGGTTCAATTTTCTTTTTCTGAACTAGCTTGTATTCAAGATAACTTGATGCATTCTGGCATCATGAGTTTTTTTAGGTATGGATAATGGGGAATGTATGTAAGAGTTTCCGTATGTTGCTCAGATTTCATATTGAAATCTAGTAATCCACTATTTTGACTAATGCATTCGAGAAGACTATTGAGGGATGGTTTTGGAGTCATCAATAATGCATTACCAAATACCTGTTCAAGGACCTCTAAAGCATTTAAGAATTGTTGAGGCCACAGATATGAGTCTACCTGTATGTTGTCTGAATGCTTTAAGTTTGTTTCAATGACATCAATTGGCTTGATAGGTAGCTGGGGCCCAAATAGTTGCTTAGGTCTTAATACCCTTTTTCGCTGATGCCTTGAGCGTTCACAAAAGTTAAAAGAGGAAGGGTGATAGATGACTGGTAATTTTGCCCAAATCTGAAGAGTAAGAATAAAGCACTTAGGTCCTAGTTTGCATCTTTTATCAGGATCTGTTAGCAGGAAATAATGAAATGAAATGCTAATAGTCTGGTGGGGCCAACACTGTGAACTTCATCAATTTCCACCTCAACTTCCAAGTCTTAACTGGGAGATGATTAGGTAGAGGGAGTGATGGAGGATTAAGAAGCAAGAATGTCTTGTATGCATGTTTACCCTCGTGTGGGAGAGAGCCATGCAAGTGGTTGGGGTCACATTCTGAATTTCTGAAATTGCATTTATAGCAACCATCTCTTATAGTGCACCAAATCAGAATTTTATGGTCTTTTAGAGCTAAAAATAACTTTAGTCTCCAGAAAAATAAATTTTGGGCCATTTGGCTTTGTCTGTGAGTTAAGATAGAGGCAGCTCGTTGGCCTTCAAGGGTCCTAGTTTTTGTCTCATGTGCTTTCCACCATTTCTTTCTCTCCAGTACTTGAGCATGTTGTATAAATAAAATTATAGTTCAAACGTAAACAAATTTTCTGAGTGGACCTTTGTTTGCTAATATTGTCTACTTTTCATTGATAGTCATATCTCAGTTAAACACCTAAGACTAATTTTTGAACTGCCATCTCTCAGGTGTTGATCTGTAGAAATGAGGCTGAGAAATGTTTGATAGAAACATCTATAAATTCTCTGCGCATTAGTCTTAAGGTAAATTCCAGTTACTTCGCTATATTGATTGATTTTACTTTTCTATTTTTAACTAGTTCATCAACTTTCTCTATGATTTCAGAAAACTCTGCACTTCACCCATATAGTTTCAGAAAGTCTTCCCATAATAATCATGCCATGATGAGAACTTCATGTCTCGTATTCCTAATTTTAACTGTATAATTACATATTGCAGTTTGGTGTCACATGTTAATGTGTTGAGTCCATCTATAAATTATGTTACTTCATCAAAGTCGTATAAAAGATTATTAGGAGCCTGCTTTAAAATACTAGGTGAGATATTTAGTTTTGTCCCGTTCTTGGGAACACATAGTGATATTTCCTGGCAATTGTGTAGGGCGTGGCTGTTATTTTTTCTGTATATTGTCTTGGGAGATGGGATGGGTATGTGATTGTCTCTCTAAAGTGGATTTTAAGGAAGGGTATGGAAGGTCTATGGAGGAGGAAGTCAGAGATGATGGCATTAAAATTCAAATGCACAAATATATTGTAGAAGTTGTGACAACTCTAATTTCATAGAGCCTAAACTGGTGAGAATAGGTAAGGAGTGTTAATAAAGTTAAATAAAGATTATGAAGATCATTGAAGATTACGGCTATATTATAATTACATTGTATCGTCAGACCGTTGAGTTTTGGTTGCTCGGATGATGAGTTAGAGTTTTGGATTCTCAAAGGAATATCATTTATGAGTTTTTTTTAGAGTAGCTATTCCGTGGGATATCTCTCAACTATAGCCCTTGGTTAGCGATATATTGCTGGATTTTTGGCCGATGTATTGGCATTAGAGCTTTTATCAGAACATAAATTATGTGTTCGACTGAATTCTCCCGACAGATAGAGCTCACTGTGTATATCGGCACACTTCGTGAATTTCTTTTGAAAGTTCTTCTTGGGGTGTGAATTCTCTGGAGTGGCTTTGGAATGTTCTTGGAATAGTTCTTGGTTGTTTTTGCACTTTTGTTGTTCTTGGTTTCTCATCGTTACTAATTGTCGTAGATGATTGTGATAAGTTTCAGGAGCTGGTATTGGGAATTAATGAGACAATTAGCTGAATGATTGATTGTATTACTAAGCAAGGGGTTACAATGTGAAAGCAATTACAAAGCCATTCGAGAGGGCTATATCTCTCCTACTTCTTACTCAATTTCCTACCTGCCTAAAAGCTTATTTCTCTACTGTTTATATAGAACTTCCTGCCCAAGTAACTGATTCTATTTTGGCCACTTGATTTTGTTACTGCTCTCCCGCCACTTGGAGCTACCACCTTCTCATGTCTTCTAGAATATTTGAATCTAATGGGAGGCTTATCAGATTACTTTGATTTGGATTTCTTCTTCGCGGGTAGAAGTGTTGTCACCGTCATAGATTCATGATTGCAACAGGCATCAATTTGAGGGGGATGTTAATAAGGTTAAATAAAGATTACGAAGATCATCGAATATTACGGTTATATTATAATTATATTGTACTATATATAGATAGATTGCTTTTACCATATTTAGTTTGATGGTAGCCTTGTTCAATGCTCTGTAATCCACGCAAAACCGCCAGCTCCCATCCTTCTTCTTTACCAATAGCACGGGGCTCGAGAAAGGGCTAGTGCTCGGCTGAATGATTCATGCCTCCAACATTTCCTGTGCCAACCGCTCAATCTCATTTTTCTAGATGTGTGGGTAACGGTAAGGTCGAACATTAACTGGTTCAATCCCGTCCCGTAGGTGGATGGAGTGATCGACGTCCCGCATTGGTGGCAGTGTCTTGGGAGTCTCGAAGACTTGCTAATGCCGTTTTAACACTTGTAGGATTTCTGCAGGTAGCCTAGTCGCCCCTTCCTTCTTCTCTGAGGGGGTTGCAAATTACACAATTCCACCACCACACCTGCCCCTTCCTGTCGAAGGGCCTTCATCAGTGATTTTAGCGACACTCCTGTTCGGCTCAGCTTCGGGTCGCCTTTTAAGCTCCTTACCACCTCCCAACTGAAATCGCATAGTAAGTGATTTCCAATTGACTACCATTTCGCCCAGACTACTTATCCACTGCATACCCAATATTATATCTGTGTTTCCCAGTTCGAGGGGTAAGAAATCCTCAATTACAGTAAGCTCTTGCATCTCTAACTTCACCCCCTTACAAATGCCCTTCCCTTTGACCGATTCCCTTGAACCCAGTACTACCCCATAGTGCGAAGTCGCCGTGGTCGGAATCCCCATCCTTCGAACCAATCCCAATGATATGAAATTATGAGTTGCCCCACAGTCTATTAGCACAGTAACCTTCTGCCCTCCACCTTCATTGTTCCCGGTGTTGTCAACCCTACAATCGAGTTAATTGAGAGCTCCACCTTCTCTGTGACCTCCAGCGGCACCTCTCTTTTCCCAACCTCTTCCTCTTCGTTGTAATCATTCTCTTCAACCAGTAGGACACGCAGCTCTTTATTCTTGCATTGATGGCCAACCGTGTACTTCTCATCACATTTGAAACATAGCCCCTTATCCTTCTTGGCTTGCCATTCAGCGTCAGTCATCCGCTTCGTTGGAAATTCCCATCGGTGGATCGTGGGCTTCTCTCCCACGGTCACGGTTCTGGTGGGGAAGGTTTCTAGCTTTTTCCAATCTCCCCGATTTGCTATTAAATTAGTCTTAGGAGACTTTTGGGTCATGGACCCCCTCAATTGGAGAATCTTGTTTCGGTCCTCTGCTCTTTGTGCAATTTCCATAATGGACCCCAGCCCACTGGGCCTATGTAGGTGGACTTCAGCCCGTATTTCTGGAACGAGCCCATTTACAAAGGTGCTTTCCAGTACTTCTTCAGAAATCCCCACGAGTGGAGCTGCCAGCACTTCGAATTTACGTCGGTATTCTGCCACCGTTCCCTCTTGTTTTACGACTAAGAATTTTTCACAAAGGCTGTCGTCCAGTGTCGGTTGGAAGCGTAGCAGCAAATGCTGGCGAAATTGCTCCCAATTCCGAAATGGGTCCCTCATTTCTGTCCACTGGAGCCCGGATAGAGCATCCCCATCGAGGCACACCCCAATTGCCCCCTTCTTTTCTGATTCTGTTAAGCCATTCACTTCAAAATACCTTTCCGCCCTAAACAGCCAGGCGTTCGGGTTTTCTCCGGTGAATATTGGCATCTCCAACTTTCGAATCTGCCGCCAATTGCTGTCATCCTTCACCGCCTCCAATGGGGCTGTCCCCTTCCCATAGCTGGCCTCGCCTAATTCTTCTGTCCATTTCCCATGTTTCGTATTTCGACGGTTGTTCATAGAACCAGAGTGGTTCTTTAGAAGTTTGGACCGTTTAGCGAGGCTTCCGTCTCCGCTCTCTTCTACCGGGCCGTTAACCATTGTTTTCGGGAGGGCCAAGGATGCCACTGTTTTTTGGGTTGCCTCCATTGTTTGCAGAATGCGGACAATATTTTGAGATAAAAACCCCATAGATTTCTCCAATTCTGGTAAGCGCTACAAACTTGCCTTCACTTCCTCCATCTCCTTTTCCATAATTTTCACTCGACCTTCAGTTTTTTTTTGAGCCATCAGGATCAGTGCTCTGATACTAATTGATAAGTTTCAAGAGCTGGTACTGGGAATTAATGAGACAAATAGCTGAACGATTGATTGTATTACTAAGCAAGGGTTACAATATGAAAGCAATTACAAAGCCATTCGAGAGGGCTATATCTCTCCTACTTCTTACTCAATTTCCTACCTGCCTAAAAGCTTATTTCTCTACCGTTTATATAGAACTTCCGGTCCAAGTAACTGATTCTGTTTTAGCCACTTGATTTTGTTACTGCTTTCCTGCCACTTGGAGCTACCACCTTCTTATGTCTTCTAGAATATGTGTATCTAATGGGGGGCTTATCAGATTGCTCTAATTTGGATTTCTTCTTCGTGGGTAGAAGTGTTGTCGCCGTCATAGATTCATGAGTATAGGCATCAATTTGAGGGGGATGTTAATAAGGTTAAATAAAGATTACGAAGATCATCAAAGATTACGGCTATATTATAATTATATTGTACTATATATAGATAGATTGCTTTTACCATATTTAGTTTGATTTGGTTCTATTTAATGAGAAAACCTCTCACATTGAGAGTCATCGAGTCTTACTGAGTATTATTTAGTATATTTTGACAAGGAGTGTTGGGACAAATCTAACAAGGGACTCCAATTCTCAAGTTGGTACAGAGCATGTCAGTTTATAAACTATCAAGGTAAAAAGGTTATGGTGGTTTGACAAGGAGGATGTACAGCAAAGGTATTTGCTGAGAAGCTGAAAACACTGACAACTTGGCTATGCTTTTTACCTGCAACATTTGGTGCAAGATAAATTTACACGAATTCCAGGAGTATCTTTCTTCAGAATTGTCATAACTGAGCTCAACTTATTATGAAGGATTTTTCAGAGCTCTTGATATCCTTATGGGGCAATGCAGAGCCCTAAAAAATAATACAAAATTCACAAATTTTCATGCCCTTATGTTTGTATTTTGTTGATGTTATTGGATAGGTAAAGCAGGCAGATGAACTTGAAAACATACTGACGAAGAAGTTCCTTAGATTTTTATCAATGAGAGCAGAAGCATTTCAAGTGTTAAGGAGAAAGCCAGTACAGGTACATATTTTTTTTTTCTTTTTTGTTTCAATCTGATGATTTTCTAACTTCATAGCATACTTCAGAAATAAAAACACAGATGTTATAGGAATTGTTGCGGAATGTATGGCCTAACTCATATCTTACGGAAGAAGAAAGTGCACTGACATGAAAAGCAGATGTTACATTGGAGAATCTTCATGGTTTAAGATTAAAATTTCATGCCGGAATAAACTTTGTATCAAATGCACATTTTTATTCTTCGCTATTATTTAATTTTGACAAATGACCATTAGCATTATAGGTTGTATTATGTATAGCAAAATGAAAATGAGAGATGCCTAGATCAGTAAGTATGCTCTAAAAAATTGCTTGCATTAATCATGTTTTTTGATCAATTATTGATCAAAAAACATTGATGTCACCATGTCGTCAAAAGGTTTTGGTTGTTTCAGATTATGTTTTAGCCATCACTATACTTTTCTTCTATGGTCAATATGTCCTCGTAGGTTATTTCTAGAAAATTAGAGCTTAATTTCTTTTTTGATATAAATTGAAATCCTTTAGCGTCAAGTAGTTTATAATTATTTTTTAAAATTCCTCGGAAGAAGCTATCCTTGACTATTCCACAAAAGAAAGAGCTGGTGAACCACGCTAATTCCACTCCAGTTCTCTCAAACAGAGCAAAATAGCTGGCATGAAGCTGCCCCTCTAGAGCGAGGGTGGCCTTTGTCCTCTTAAAGTAGATTTATGGCTCTTAGAATAGAAGTGCGAATAAATGGAGCTTCTAGGACTGTGTTGACTGAATCTCTCTTTGTAAATCTAATTTAATCTAATCTTATTCGTAGACCAAACTTTTACCTATCGTTATCTCCACCACAACACCCTTTCTATTAAATGTGATAGAATACTTAGCCCCTTTTCTCTGTTCTCCCTTCATTTTGCTATACAAGGGCTCCAGGAACGTGGGGATGTAAAAAGTGGAAATTCTGTAAGTACCTGGACACAATTCAATGTGTATTCATCTTGTCTGAGTCTCCCCTCTTATGCATACTCGGTAATTAGTTTAAAGTGTACGAGGAGTCTTTCTCAACATTGTGATTGAAATTACTTTGCCTACATTTCCTCACTTCTTTGTTTTCATTGATGCTCCTAGCTCTCAATGTAATGCTAGAAATTATCAATCCTGGAGTGATTATCTTTTTCGGTATTCTTAAAAATGAGAGCAGACGTGGTGCTTACACTTTGAACAAGTAGCCCTAGGTCATGCTTATTTTTAAATGAATTGTTGAAACTAGGTGTTGGATCTTTAGATGGGAAGGTGCATCCACATCCTGCTAAGTTACGAAGTTCTGTAGAATTTTTATTATTATTATTATTATTATTTTTTTAAGAACTTGCATTTTTCCTTGAGAAAATTAGACATGCATGCAGTGTATGTACACCATAATTTTTTAATTTGTTTTGATTATAGTGTTCATTACCATCACTCTTGTAAGAGTTCATAAATTTGAACTTCTCAATGGCGTAATTTTTTCAGGGTTATGACATAAGTTTTCTTATAACTAATTACCACTGTGAAGAGATGCAAAAGCAGAAACTCATAGATTTTATTGTGCAGTTCATGGAGGTAAGCTTTAAGTTTTGGTGCAATTACCTCTCTAATTTGCAAATGTGCTTGGATAGAGATTCCTTTTCAATGCATATTCGACAAAATATGAGCAATAAAGAATTCGAAAAGTAAGAAGATAGTATTATGGAACCCCAAGTTTCCCTCTGTGAAAAGAAGCTAAATATGTATCATAAGTTATCATGATTGTCCCCTTAAGGACAATCGTTTCATCGACTTATAATTGGGTAGAGAAAACTGGTGCAACTTATTTGTAACTTATGATAATCGAACATGAAGGATCAGAAAATTTACCGTTTAGTAGATACCATTCCCTTGTTAAGTCGATGAGTTGGCCTCTGTTAACATGTATATCCAATTTAATTTGAAGATAGCAAGAAAACTGTCTACCAAACGTGATACCAGTCTTTTTTACCTTCACAGAGCATTAGTGTTTTATGATCTCTTTCTTGTTGTTTTCATCATGCAAGATTTTTTTTTTTTAATTATTATTTTTTTCTTTTTGAAAGTTGCATCGCTATTTCATTTTAATGGGATGCTCAAAAGGTATTGATATTTTTAATTTGCTACATAATATCCTTCGAAGTTACACAAGAATTACTTGTATCTATAGTAGCCGTAAAACCCTCTGATCACCTAATTAACCAATTATTCGAAAGTGCTTTTTGAATTCATCTGAATTATGTGAATTTGTAATATCCAGGAGGCTTGATCCACTGATCTTGAACATCATATCTTGAAGTATGCATAGGCTTTTATTTGGCACAGTAGGATCTCATTTCTCTTTTGTTGGCATATTATTGTCAAGTAGTGCTAATTTTTTTTTTCCCAAGTAATTGAATTTTGGTCCCTGTAGTGTTACAACTTATAGCCAGTTACATAAAATAATGGATCTCGCTACATGTTCATCAAGGTTTACATAATGCCACGTGACATTCTATGCATAATTTTAAAATATGGATCTTGCTACATGTATATTAAGATTTTACATAATATCACATAACATTCTATTATTGGACAATTTAAAGCACAATCAACTTTTTTATCCAATTACTTCCCTCCAACTCATCTTTGGCACTGCTTCTGGACCATCCTATCTGTACAACGAGCATAATTCTAAAACATAGACCTTGATACATGTACATCAAGGTTTATACAATGTCAGATGGCACTCTATTATTGGACAGTTTAAAGTGCAATCAACTTTTTTATCTAATCATTTTCCTCCAGTCCAGCATCGCTTCTGGACCATCCTTTTTTGTACAACCAGCATAATTCTAAAACATGGATCTTGCTACATGTGCATCAAGATTTATATAATGCCATGATACTCTATTATTGGATAGTTTAAAACACAATCAACTTTTTTATCAAATCATTTCCCTTCAACTCATCTTCTGGCACTGCTTCTGGATCATCCTTTCTGTACAACCAATATAATTCTAAAACATGAACCTTGCTATATGTATATCAAAGATTTACATAATGGTTTATATAATGCCACATGGCACTCCGATCCGATCCCGATCCCCCAAAATACATATGCTGCAAGGGTTATTTAATCAACTCCTTTCTTTCTTTGAACGGCAGGATATTGATAAAGAAATAAGTGAATTAAAATTATCCGTGAACACAAGAGGGAGGCTGGTTGCTACAGAGTTTCTGAAGCAATTCATCTGAAGACATGGTTTCTACAAGTCTGAAATTGAGTTATGTTCTTGAGAATATATGAAATGTTTGGTAGCGTAGCACAATCTGGGAAATGAAGTTCTTGAGATTTGACACATGGAGCTAATAAATCTGGTCGTGTAAATTGAATACATTTTAGTTTATAGGTTTTCATTTCCCACACAGCTTGTGATTAATAGATTTGAATTTCTGTTATCGTGAAGTCTTTGCATGAAATGCTCAAGTTGGTACACGGTTATTCATATTCTACCTTGCCGAAGATGAATAATGTTCTGGAATTTTTATTTCATATATCAATTGGTAAGAATTATAGAAGGCAGCGAGGGGAGGGCAGGTTTTGATCACTCTCTAGTCCGAATATTGAAGATGCAGCCACAGAAGACAGAGAGGAATGAGTAATATGGAGTTGGTTTTTTTTTTTTTTTTTTTTTTTGGGGGGGGGGGGGTTTTTGCGATAGACAATTTATTGTTGGATTTAAAGGTTTATAATAATTTCAGAGACACTCCTTTGTTTTTAAAAAAATTACAGAAATCTCCCATATTATTTCAAAGTTTTCAGTTTTGCCCTTGTCACTTATTTTTTATTTTTTTGCAATTTATATTTGTCAAGATCGACCATTCTATTGTTTCTTAGAAATGAATAAAATTTGATACATTTTTTTTAATATTATTTTTGGTATTACGCTTGTCTACCATTGTTCAAAAATTATTATTATTTTTTTCTAAAATTCATTTTCAACTATAAATTCTCATAATAAAATATTTTTCATATAAATTCAAAATTTTTCTTTACTTTTAAATTATACAATTTTCAAAATCCACTATTTCAAAATTAAACTTACTCAAGGAACATTTTTTAATGGGCATCAAACGGGGGCTATGAATAGAACGTCCTAAACCTAATATATTATGAGATGGCAAAATAAACCAACCATTGTCCAAGTCCATCCCAATTATTATTTTTTATTTATATATTATTATATTAAAATCTATTAGGGTTCGTTTGATTGCAAGAATGAAATTTGGGTAAAAAGAAAACGAATTTCAAGAGATTGGATTGCCTAGAAATTCTTTTACTGAAAATTGTCAATTACTGTATTTCATTGGTATAATTTTTTACCTGAAAAATGTTGAAATAAAAGTGTCTTTTCGTATTCTTTTGGCTTTATTTTTCATGAAAATTGTCAATTTAAGAGATATCTTTTTTTTAAAATTGTTCATAGAATTTATTTCCATTGCCAAAAAAAAAAAAAATCCAAGAAAAAAAATATATCCAAAAATCATATATTTTTTGGTGTTCGTTTAAATTTATTTTTCATAAAAATTGTCAATTTAAAGGATATACTCTTTTACAATTGTTTTTAGAATTTGTTTCAATTACAAAAAATAAAATTAAAAATTTATTTATTTATTTATTTTTTTTTTTGTAAGAAAGAAAACATGGAAAAGTCATGAAAGTCAAGAAAATGCTGAAATGGCGGCCGAAGAGGGAAAATCAATTCTCTAGAAAATTTTGTTAATCAAACAGCCCCAAAATGGAAGTTGGAATTTGTTTTCCATTTTCCATGAAAAAAATTGGACTGTCAAACATGGCCTTAGAGATATACACATTAAAAAATTAAATAAATGAGTAAAAGGGGATATATGAATTATAACATGCCGTGGTGGGTCCAGGGGCACTATTTGCATCCTTGTCTAGTCAGGAATTTTGGGATGTGTAGATTAAAATATCTTCATTTATCGTCTAATTTATTTACTAGTCCTAGTCTAATGCGTTGCACGAATGCTGTTTTATTGTGTTTTTATTAGTGTAAAAATTGTGGATGTTAAAAAAAATTATTGAAGATTTATTGCATTATTCAAGAGTTTTAGGAGCATATTATTGTTTCGCTAATGCTCTATCTATAAAATCCCCATGCATGCACTTATGGTTGCAATTAGTTAAATAAACTTAAAGTGATGAGTACTTATATTCTCTAAAAAATCACTATCTTCTAAATCAAAAATAAAAAACTATCCAGTGTATGTGTTTGATTATTTTTATGCAAGTATATGAGAAAAGCTGAATTTATTAGTAATGTCATTATGTTTGAACTATATGAATAGTATGAAATTCTTACCAAATTAAGGAAAATATTGAAGGTCTGCATATATTGTTCTGTTCAATTCAACAATCTATCATTTGCGACTCATCAACTCTCTAAACAATGACCCATTTTCTTTATTAAACTTTCATCAGATGTATCACAAAAGAAATTATAAACAATGGGATCATCAACTGCACACAGATTATAGGAATATTAATTCCAATTAAGCATTAATTGGTCCAATGATTTTTAGCAAAATTAACAAAAATGTCAAATTCAATCGATCAAAAACTACAACTTGTAAGAAATCATCACAGCTAACAAACTTGAAAATGAAACTAGTGGTCTAATATAATTTTTACTCAATTGCAAATTAGTTGCGTGGGGATGAATCCAAGGATATATGAAAAAATCTCTTGGTGGATTAATTTATAGTTGCAAGTTAGTTGTATGGAAGCATGTATGAGATATCCCTACTATATAAAAAGGCCAATGTGTTGCTACTGTAGAAAGAACAGTAGAGTCTTCCATTTCTACACACTGTAGCAACTTTTTTTTCCTTGAGTAAAAACGACGTCGTTTGCCAATTTTTTTATTTTTAATTTTTTACATGTCTGGAGCCAAGATGAGGCTGTCCAGACATGAAAAAAATAAATAAATAAAAAAAAAAAAATATATAAATATTATGATATTTCTGTTTCAATTATATTTGAGATATCTGTATTTTGTGCTTCAATCAATGTGCTTATATTGTATTTGTTCTCTTTGTGCTTATATTGTATATTTGTTCTCTTTGTTTGTTCGATCGTTGACGCATGTTCTTTTGGCCTTATTTTAGTTTGCAGGTAGTGGTGTAGAATGTTTTCAACTTCTCTTTAGTTTGTGATAGCAGTAATATCTAGAGGTTTTTCCTGCGATGATTAATGAGGGGGGAATCTATTTTCATATGATTTGATTTTTCATTTTTCTTGTATAGTGTTGAACTTCGATGTTGATGTTGACGTTGATTTGTTGTACACAAACTCTAGAGTAAACTGGTAAATAAGAGAGTAAATAGAATTGGACGTGGAAATAACAGAATGAAAATACATGAAAATTATTAGAAGAAAGTAAAGAGGTCTCATAGACGTGTCAAACTTCCACCAACATGGTCTTTTTTGTAGACGTTGAACGTTGGGGGTTCACTGTTCAAAAGTTCGAAAACACATGTATCGCCAATTTGTAGTTCTTTTTTCTCTAAAAAAATCTGCCCAGTTTATAGTCATACGTCTTATTAGACCATTTGGTCGCAAATTTGTGCCGAGCTCCCAGTCGTGATGTAAAGAATCATGGATTTGAACACTTCGCAGACCTCTTGGTAGGTGATATCTAGAGAACTGTCTTA